ATTACCACAGTAGGCGATCTGTGTCGATGACTGTCAGAATGGACGATAATTATGTAACTTCTTAACTGACATCAAAGATATGCCTAGAGCAAAATACATACTCTGGGTTGAGCTGTTGTGTAAACCCGGTTAATGGCTTGGAAATATATTCTCATTTGACAACAGCTAACAGAGGCGCAAGTCTGACTTGACAGGTTCATTTGGTAGCATCGATTGGTTTTACTTCACTATGACAAGGATCAGTGAACTTGTAGCAACGAATCACATAAAATGAACGTTTATCCAAGTCTTCGATACTGATTCTGACCTGATTATATTCACTGAAAGCATACTAGCTAAAATTTCTGAGCCACAATTCTACATTGGATCGCCACTGGGAAGCCGAGCAGCAAGTCACTTTGTAACAGTCAGTCAGCTTAGATTACAAACTTTTCGACATACAGAACACCAAAAATTAACATTTAATCTCCTTTATTTCTGACTTATGGTTTGACTGCGTTTGAGAAAGTCAGGTAGGAAGGTGTGCCAGATGAAGCAGTGTCAAACCCTTGAAATCTCAGGCATTACAGAGAATTGTAGCTATGTATCGCTAAATAACCAGGTAAAATCCCTTGCCAGTCAGAATTCAAAATACCGGTTGTGGTTAGAAGTAGAGGTATATTTGTTGTTGATCGCGTGATATCGAAAACATATCAAGATCGCAACAAACGTTATAGGCGGGACTAATGAGGCAACTTGAGCAAGGTCAGGGTTACGTGATACGGAAGACAATCGTTTTTGGGACAGATAAACAAATGAGTACAGTGAAACAATCACTAGTACAGTTGGTTACAATAATAGATGTTTCCATTTCACCAATTATTTTCTCTTTATAGAAGTATTCCACTACATCAGCCCCCCTCTAGAAACGGTTTGGACTTTCGATACGTCGCGGCTGCGTTCAGGGGACGCATTGGCAAACATGCGAATGCAGGAAGGAAGGGTTGACGAGCAGGAAGCGATCCATGGTGCTCGAGTTATAACCGAAGGTCTTTTATGAACGGTACCAGTGGTAACGTGTCATGTTTGTTGTCAGGGTTAGCGTACCACACCAGCGGTGCTCGTATCCAGAGTCCAAAGACTGAGTTCGTGCAGGTCCGGACGCGAAAACACCGAAGCTGTAGGACGGAACCAGACTAAGCGAAGGAATCAGAAACGACCATAACTACCTTGTTCGAAACCATACGTATGCCAGACATATTCGAAACCAAATCGTCGACTAAGTGCATTGACAAGAGCGTGGGTGATCAGGCCAGCTTCCACAAAGATTGAATGACGTCGACGGTACCAACAGGGATATGATCGAAAACGTAGGCAATAGAAGTACCACATAGGATAATACTTGAGCTAGCAGATAGGGGTAATTCCTGGCACTGAAGGGATGTAGAATGTAGTGCTTCTGTACAGGAGGTATCGCTTGTTTGGGTGGCAGCCATGGTGTGGAGATCAAGCACCGGTATATTAACTGCATTTACTTGGCTACGTGATGAATCATCGGCAACATAGTTGGACTTGTCTTTAATATGACGAAGGTCTGTCGTGAAGTGCGAGATATAGTCCAAACGTCTGCACTCTCGTGATGAGTAGCAGTCAGGCTTGGTATGCAGAGCATACGTAAGAGGTTTATTGTCGGTAAAGGGAATAAAGTCGCGAACTTCCACTACGTGCCATATATGCTTCATGGCACAGTAGGCTGCTAGCAATTCTCGACCGAAATCGCTATATTTCGTCTACGTGGGTGTAAGGCGTCGTGAGAAAAGTTTGAGAGGTTGCCAGCTTACGGATATGTTCTGTTGCACAACAGCTCCTGCAGCAAAATCTGATGCATCAACCGCCATACTAAGCGTGGCTGATGTGTCAGGATGAGCTCGGAATGTGGCTTGATCCAAAGCCGTTATATATCTGAAAATGCAACAAGTGCAGCATAGTTAAACTCTAATTTGCGGGGATTACCGCAAACTAAGACGGTTGTTGGTCGAAACCGTTCCTTCGCGTGTGAGGTGATACGCCTGTAGAAGTTACCCAAACCTCGAAGTGTCTTCAGTTTTTTGTGCGTACTCCGTTATTGCACGTACTTTGTGCCCACAAGGTAAAATACCCTCTTGCGTAATTATGTGACACAAGAATATGATTTCCGATTTGTCTGGGTTGACTACTATTCCATTATCTGAGAGGCGCTGGAATAAGGGTGTAACATGCTTATAATGTTCGTCTACGTTTGATGACGAACTTAGCAAGCGTGAACAAAATATGAGTCTCGTACTATGTTATCGATAAACCTTTGGAAAGTATGAGCAGCATTACGTAATCAGAATGGCATTCGTAGGAACTCAGACAGACCGAATGGAGTCGAGATGGCAGTTTTCGCGATATCTTGAAGAGCGACTGGGATCTGATGATATGCTCGTACCAGATCAATCTTAGAATAGATAGTCGTGTCTTTAAGAGATACCGAGATGTCGTGTATTTGGGGGATGGGATAGCTATCGAAACGTGTTACTACGTTTAATGCTAGGTAGTCGCTACGTGGTCACCAACTTATCTCATCCTTTTTGCGAACCAAGTGGAGAGGTGAGGCCCAAGGACTGTGAGAAGGATGAATAATACATGTAGCAAACTCACGTTTGGCGAAAGCTAATTTGTCCAGTGCCAGTCGGTGAGGTGTTGCCGTGACTAGTGGTCCGCGGGTGACGATGTGGTGTACCACATGATGAGTCACCGATAGGATCTCCTCTGGTGGTTTAGTTAGCCTGGGGAATATTTCGAGTAAAGCGAGCAATATGTCGTCACACGAATGAAATAAACCAGTGATGCGGTATGCGTTTTTTTGAGCTCGAAAGCTCATGAATTTGCTGTTCGACGAAGTATCGATTAGCTGCGGTCTACGGAATCGGATAACGATTCATGGTAGTGTAGGGAATCGACACCGAGAACGGCTATGGAACATCAGCTGGGATGAACGTCCATAGATGCTGTCGTCGATTACTCAGGTTGATCATTAGCTGTCGCGTACCATATGTAGGAATGGCAGAGCCATTCACAGCGCGTAGTCGAAGGATCGAAGTTTGAGACTTGTTGCTACCAAATGGTACGACAGAAACTTAGGCACCTATGGCCACCAAGTACCTAGCGTTAGTCCAATAATCGTGAATGTAAAATAACCGGCCAACCTGAGGTGAGGGGCTAGAGTGTCCAGCCGCGTTCACTCGCCGGCGTTGGAGTTTCCCGACAGTGGCGAGCACCTGACCCGAAGGCTCAATGAAACCAGCATAAACTGGTACTCGCTTGCGAAGCGGCCTTTTGGCGTGGCTTGGAAGATGCTGGCTTGGGTTGAGTGCTTGTAGCTTTGCGTTACCGTGATCTGGTTCAGAGATCCGGAACAAGAGAGCTGTCTCGAAACTTGAGATGGTTATGAATGCAGTAACCTTGATATCCTTGGGCCTGAGAGCGGCTAGCATCGAGCCCTACCTTCGTACATGTCGTTTAGGCTACCATGTAGCTGCCTTGAGCGCTAGTCTGCGCTAAAATTTTGTCTACTATCCGGGCAACCTGGTTAAGTGGTGTGTCCTCGAGCAGAAATAGGATCACAGGCTGAATAAGTGCTGACACTGATTCGAGCCACAGTTCTTTCACTATTTCAGTGTCAGCTGTCGTAGGTCCTGACAAAGAGTGCGTTGGTGGCTCGGCTTTGCATCACCCAGGGGGTGACGTGCTGATAAAGCCCCTAATCGTTCCTCCCTGGATGGGAGGAAATGTCTGAGAATCGCCTCCTTGAAACGGTCGTAGACATCTGGTACGTGAGAAGTGAGGACGATCTCACGGACAGCAGCTATGTGGTCCTCAGTTAAAGACTCCAGAACATAGGCATATTTCTACCGCTGGCTCATAATGCTGCGGACGTGGAACTGAGCTTCCAGTGCCGTGAACCAGACTTCTTGTTCGTGAGAATGAAAGAAAAAGGTCGAAAATTGATACGCCCTAACTGGTAGTCTGTTAGGTCATCATCATTTGTACATTGTACGAATTGCTATAAGACAAACAAATGAGTACAGTAAAGCAATCACTAGTACAATTGGTTACAATAATAAATGTTTCCATTACACCAATCACGAACTCTTCAAGGTTTTTGAGAATCATTGACCTGTTTACTGTGTGATTTTGGTAGGGTAGAGTGACATTTCACTGGCCTCACAGATGTAACATCCTGCAAGACACTTAAAAAGTGGGCTTATACCAATGTGGCAGCCTCCACAATAAGTAGGACGATGTAGTTGTAGTTCTTCAAAATCACAGCTCACTGGACACTAAGGACAAAACCTAAGATGGAAAATAAAAGGTAGCCGTCTTACCTACAATCAAAACGTCAGCGAAATGTACAGCTGAAGGAATAAAGATAAAACGCCCTGCATTTCTAAAGCAAGGTGTACAGCTATATTGCAAAATTACGTTCGTGGAGGGATTTTCAGATACATTGACAAAAACCTCTAAACATGTTATACGTCCATTAAGATGGCACATGTTGTTGGATCGCCTTAATGAAAACCCAACAGATTCCACCAATTAGTTCAAATTTATGATGTGTAACGCATTCGAATCCTTACACTTTCAAATTCTGGTTTCGATAGTTGTCATTATTGCTCTCTGATGATCTTTCTGGTTGCTGTCGATTGCTTTCAATATAAACTGCAACTGAATTCAGTGTGCTTATTGAGTCATCGGCTTTTCCTTCCGTTTTTTCTCTTCCGGTTTCTATCACCTACTGCTCACACCAACTTACATAGCATGTTCAGGCTGAAACCAAACCTATCCAAACTTGATCGTTGCAGATATTTAAAAATTATATGAAAGTGAAGAATATAATCATTATTTAAAAATTTATAAATGTTCCCAGTAAATCAAACTTCATTTGTTCTAATCACTCAAGTTTGTCTAAATAACCAATAAGAAATCAGCACGATTAAATGCTAAATAGGCGCCAGTTTACAGGTGGACGTGAAGCGATGATGGTCGTGAGGTGTCTTTTGCTGTATTTGGCGTTTTGTTTATCGATATGCAAAGCTGAAGATGTTTCTTCAGAACCTGTGGTAGAAAAGCAGAAGGTATGTACTTCTTAATCTTAAGTCCCTTTTAGCCGTCATTCAAAAATCCAACTGTCCCCAATAGTGCCTACCTTGCTCTGTTCTTTAGCTCCCCATCAGATATTACTGAGAAGTAACCGAATTATTTTCTAACCCCTTCTTCAGACTTGTAGTCTCCCAGGCACGCAAAGATGGTATGGACGATTCTATTGCTAAATATGACGGTGTTTGGTCTGTTGAAGTACCATACACTAGTGCGGTAGAAAAAGACTACGCACTGGTTCTCAAGTCCAAGGCTAAACACCATGCTGTCTCAACAAAGCTATCGAAACCAATAAAGTTTGATACTAATGAGCTTGTTATTCAGTATGACGTCAAGTTCCAAGATGGAATCGATTGTGGAGGTGCCTACATAAAGCTGTTGAGTGCCTCACCAAATTTGGACTTGGTAAGTTCCTTTAAACTGTGCTAACTTGATAAAGAAACAATTCAACGACAAGACACCATATACAATTATGTTCGGTCCTGACAAATGCGGACTTGAAAACAAAGTACTTGAGATATTTTAAGCTTTAGTTTTAGTTCCATTTTATATTCCGGCACAAAAATCCAAAAACTGGTGTATACGAGGAAAAGCATGCAAAGAAAGTTGTTCCTGAACTGGAATCATATTTTACCGACAAGAAAACACATCTATACACACTAGGTTAGTTAAACAACCCGTAATATATTTAACAGTCTTACGTTCGGATAACTCGTTTGAGCGGTATATCGACCAAACAAAGGTTCAAAGTGGCAATCTTCTTGATGATTTTGAGTAAGTCTGTTACCCACAGTTCTCATTTGTATACGTATGATACTTTAGTACCTTATCAAAATGTCCTAAATTTCCTTCTTTATGCCCTTTCATGTCTTGTAGACGATAATCATTTTAGGTCCGAAACGTAGAGTACCAAACTAGTGATTAGATTGAATAACAAAAATTGTCACTATCGTATGGTAATACCATCAATTATGCATGACATTAGAGTGTTGGTGCTGTTTGCTATGTGTTGACTGAAGCACCATCTGTCACTTTTTATATAAATCTTATGACATTTGATACTATTCCATCTTTTATTGTGCCAACCGGAACTGTCTAAAAATTATGTCTAAAGCAGGTCCGTCCCGTATATAATGTTGACTCTGACCATCATGGGTTGTAAACTGCCAAGTTTAGATGGTCTTACAAAGTGCTAACCAGTCAGTCCTACGGTACATGCATACACCAGTTCAAAATCATAGCGAATTATAGTTGTGAAGGCGAGTCTCATTGTAATCGGTTTAAATGCAGCGTAGGTCGCAGTATGCGTTTCGATAGGAAAATATGGATTAGTGGAATATAAAGGAACGATACTCATGTATAACGAAACCTAAAAATTGCATCTGGAGGAACTATATGACCCAGTCTCTAACCACTGATTTTGCTTATCTCTCGTACTCTAAAAATAAAGTTCATTTTGTTTACCCCTTAAAAACTGGATTGTTTCATTACATGATGGTAAACAATCGGTCATTTTCCTTCGATGTGCTTCCCTCCTGGAGCCCCCCTGGGGCTATTGTCGGCCCCACTCCTGGTCAGTTAGTTTCAACGTAGAACTTCGTACCTACGTACGTACATAGGTTCAGATTGTCATTAAACATTAGCACAGAGATGTAATTGTCAATTCAGATCCAATAGTAGTAGAGGTAGTAGAAGTATTAGCAGTAGTCGGAGAGGTTAGGATTAGAAGATATTATTCAAGAAGTAGAAACTAGTGAAATAGACTTAAAAAGATAAAGTGATGAGGAATTAAAACGTTTAGGATTTGAGAGAACACACAGAGAATTAGTGCACCCGCGCCACTGCAAACGGTTTTGAGCCATGTCATTCGGGGTCTCTAACCATCGATTACTAACATCTCGCAGACCCCAACCAGGTAGTCGACACCTACCAACAGGACTCAGTCCACCTGTCAGTGACTACATGGATTTCTGCTATGTTTCATTTTGGCCAACCCTAGTTTTCTCCTAGCCTAAACCAACACCACAAAACATCGCTTGCCGAGGGAGTCGGTGGTTGGGCATTCGTAACACATGTTCCAACCACCTCAACTGATGAAGTTTCAACACTTCATCTATTGATTTGCCATCCCTACCTACTACCCGTTTTCTAACAACTGCACTGCCTATTCGGTTGTCTCATGATACACGAGCAGTGCTTCGGAGACACTTATGATCGAAAACCAGTAACCTACGAATATCTTCTACTCTCACTGGCCATGTTTTACAGCCATAAATTAGGACGGAGCGAACTACTGTGCAGTACACTCGTCCTTTAGTCTCGCCTTTGCCATAAGTGACGCAGTTTGGCAAAAGTCAATCGAGCTTTCTGTATTCGTGCTGAGATTTCGTCAGTCACCAGGCCATCAGCACTGATGGGACTCCCCAGATACGTAAAGTTGTCTACACTTTCGACTACTTCACTCCCTATCACTAGTCCAGGTGCCGATGCAATCCAGTCTTGAAGCAACATTTCGCATTTCCAGGGGGAAAGCCTCTTACCTCCATAACCAAACATCCCTACATCCTTTTATCACCTCGCGCTGCCAATGCAAACAATTCGAGTACTCGAAACGTTATTCTTGATGTCCTGAATCCCCGTTACAAACTACTTATTGGAGCTTTTAATGTTCGGACATTGTACGAAATAGGGCAACAGGCTTCCTTTGCTAGAACTTTATAATCTCGCGCCATCGATGTATGCTGCATCCGAAACGCGCATACAGTATCCGAGTGAAATCATAAATTTAACTTCACCTTGTCCAGTTAAGGAGTCATCCTTATTTACTCTGTATGTATCTGGAAGCCCTACTGCTGCTTCCCGTAGCCTCGCTGGGGTAGCTATAGCATTGAGTCTTAGAGCAGAAATAGCTCTCTTAGTCGCCTATGGCTATCCGACTAAACAGGAAAGTGAGGACTTGGAAAGTTAGGGGCACTCGTCGTCGCCTCTTAATCGTCTCTGCCTACACTCCTATTGACTTAGGCTTAGACGAGGTAAAAGATGAATTTTTTTCGTAAACTTTGCTCTGATGTAGTAATAGTGGCTGGTGACTTCAATGCTCAATTAGGTAGATCAAGTTATCTTCCAGTGGTATTTGATAATCAATATCTGTACTGTTTGTTGACTTGAAAACTTATGTTGGAAGTTCAAGTTAACGAACGTTGAGGAACACATCTTTTTATTTACCGAGATTACTCTAGGTGTTTATTTATCAGTACTTATAAGAACTCCGAAGAAATGAGTGTTCAACTGATTTCAGAAAAGGAATACCCAAGTGACACTTCATTTAAAACACGAAAAATGAATCTCGAAAATTGTTTTGTTCAATGCTTTCCATAGAATTATTTTCGTTATCACTTAACAGAACAGAATTGTTAAATCTATAAGTAGGAGGTCGATTTCCAAAAATACCGATAGTTTTTTTTCTGGCGAATATGATGCTGAACATATACTGCTCGATGTAGTTATTTTAGGTGATATTTCGTCATGAGATCAAACGGTACCAGTAGTGCTTCAGTTACCATCCAGAATAAATAATTTTGTTATATTTATAGTATGATATAAAGTCCGTAATTACTTAACTTCTGTTCCTCATTTTCAATGATTTTTACGTCTTTCATTTCCGTACTAAACTTTTTTTGTTACACGCCTGTAGATACTTCAAACTTTCCGCGTTAATTTAAATGGGTTTTAAAACTTGATAAAATACACTAAAAAATTTGCACATAAGTAATGTTTCCGCTGGTTTTCCTCTACACCGTTGAATATTTCAACATAGATCTTATTTAGTTACATTTTTTCAGCTGGGAAATATATATATATATATATATATATATATATATATATATATATATATATATATATATACGTGAAAAGACATGCATCATCATTGCAACTTAATTATCTATGTTTAGCATATTATTAGCATAGTTAGTCTTACTAATTTGTATGTTGAACTTCTTTGAACAGTTTGATTGGCTCCCTGTTTTCAAGTTTATCTGGGTTTTTCACATTTATTCATGTCATCAAATAATTATATTTTAGTCCGCCAGTTAATCCTCCCAAAGAAATTGATGATCCTGAGGATAAAAAGCCGATTGATTGGGATGAAAGAGAAAAGATTGTCGATACAAATGCTAAGAAGCCAGATGATTGGGATGAAGATGCTCCGGCAACCATCGAAGATGAAAATGCTGTAAAGCCATCTGGGTGGCTTGATGATGAACCAGAGATGATTCCAGATCCTTCTGCAGAACCCCCGAAAGACTGGTGAGTTTCTTCATTTTTATCTTGACCAACGGCTAAATGGCCATATCTTTGGTGTGTAACCAAAAGGATAAAAAATGAGTCGTTTCCAGTCTCTTGATTTGGATGTTTTATAAATTATTAGTGTGGATAGTTACGACACTATCGATTGTGTTATGCGGTATATCACAACTTTCATTTCGATGTAATTAATGCTACCAGTTGCGAACCAGTATTCAATGACAAGATTTATCTAAGTAATTATATGGTTGCTTAGCATCCGCGATAACTGTTACAGATTAATTTCCAAGTCAATAATAGTATAGTCAGCAAATACAAATTACTTTACGCTTATTGAAATTATTGATCCTCAAGGTAGAAAGCTATAATATGATCCGTTTGTTTCGAATTTCCTTCCGGACTTTTTGGAATATAACCTGCGAGGTCCTTTGGTACTTAAGAATCTATTTAATTATAAATTTCTTCCAGAAACTTTCAGAAATATCTCTTATAGTTGACTCAGTATACTTGTCCGATTGAGTTGATAGTTCTTCCACCTACCTTGTTTGTCATTAACTTGCTCTACTGGTATCAGCTGTGGCAACTGATAGAGATTCGAGCCAAGTTTTACGTAGTCAATGGCGACATGCTGACTACCGTTAAAAATTGAGTTAGGTAAAGCTTATGAAAGTAGTAAGCTCTTAAGATCTTAAAACCCAAGTTAAACTGGGGTATCAAACTCGAAGTACTGTAAATACTGTTGTCTATTAAAGTAGTTTAGTCACACAAAATAATCTAGTCTCCACTTTATAAACGACCATAAACTGTAGGTATTTTATTACTTATAAAGCACATGTAAGATAGGTTATTTCAATACCAGGTCTTTACATGGTTATCAGACATTGTTTCAAAGAATTTTTATTTGTGAAAATGTACAGATCTCTACTGTTGTTCTTTTGGCAGAATAGCCATTTTTTAACGTTCTAATATTATTATCGAGTAACTGAAATGAGTTCACTACTATCCTAGGTCATGTTTTTTTTCAATCTTCTGTTTCTGTACGACTGTTGAGATTGTGGTCAACCGCATTCGGTTATTCGTGAAGCGCTATATTATATATATATATATATATATATATATATATATATATATATATATGATTTATTGTAGTTTATCATTGTGATTATAAGTACAATGACCGTTTCAGTTCTAAATTAGTCATTTAATGTTTTAGGGATCGTGAGATGGATGGTGAATGGGTTGCACCACAAATAAATAATCCTAAATGTGCTGGTGCACCTGGGTGTGGTAAGTGGCATCGGCCTCTTATACCAAATCCAAAATACAAGGGCAAATGGTCTGCTCCAATGATTTCTAATCCAAATTATAAGGGTATTTGGACACCAAGGAAAATTCCAAACCCTGATTATTTTGAAGAAAAGAATCCATTCAAAAGCTTAAGTGAAGTGGTAGGTTATGTTCTTCCATAAGGTTGTACTATATTATTATTATTATTATTATTATTATTATTATTATTATTTTATGCCATTTGGCTACGTAGGGCATTGTAAAACGTGTTTTTGTTTTCCTTGTTTTAATGGTTAGATTTTGCAATAATCTTATAAGTCATCTGTTTTTCCTTATAATTATCGACCTCATGATTGTCACTGGGTACACTCGCTTGATGTCTAGTGTCTCAAATAACTGACGTAATAAGTGACTATAAGTTTAGAATTGTTTCTATACGAACTGAAGAACTAATAGGTCGTAGGAATGCAGATTGCAACCGTGTTCTCACTGTCGCATTGGAAATCCTGTTTTGAGCACTTCCAGGCAACATATTTATGAAAACCTAATATGTTGCAGAGACAAATTGTAACCGTGACTTTTGACTAATATTATGGAGAGACTATCAAAATACCGCATAGATTTATTAATGGTTTCTTGTGTACAGTTGTGGCGTTTATCGAAGTGAATTCGTCATATTGAAGTAGTCGAGTAGACAAGTTGAACCCTTAAAAATATGACCGAATTCTCAATTTATGTGATGAACACAACCAAAAATTATTAAGTTATAACATGTTAACCGAACTCCTCCATAGTTTTATTAAATCTAATTAAAAACGGAAAGTGAATAACTGAATCAAAACACCAGCGAAACGTTTCATGGATTTTAGCTTATCCGGCATGTCTAAGGTTAACAAGTTAGCTTATATGAGGTGTGTCTATCGATAGTGTTTGTTGTCACTAATAACTCAACATGGACCATTTCATAAGCTAGTCGACAAGTTTATTCCATGAAGATGTGGCTTGTGTATTTTATTTCAACTGATAACGATTGACTGAACATTGTGAACAAACAGGGTTGAAATACCTATATTTCTTCTTTAAAAATCTCACTTCTGTCCTGAAGGTTGACTTTTACCTGTAGGCCTAACAAATCAGGTTCTACAAATTGGTGGATATACCATACATCACTAAAAATTTTGACAAAATAGATGACCTTTGTTTAAGATAAGTCACGTTCTAGTCGTTTGATCGTTTTTTAGTTTGTCAAAGGTATGAGCTTTATAGTTATCTTTGTGCATAATTACGTTAGCAAACAAACCAACATATCACAAGTGATGGAGTTTTCTTGAGCAACAATTGAAGTGCTTGAATTTTCGTTTGATTTCGTTTAATCGTGTTGATTGTATTTAGGTTTAGATTCGATATTCCTGTTGTGCTTCTCACTCTGTCAATTTCTTACTATGCTGTTTAAAAGCAAGGAAACTGGAACCGATGTACATTCGTCCCAACTCCTACCTTGATAATAACTAAATACATTCTGAAAACTCCCTGATTAATTCTTTTGTGAGTTTTCTATACTTCCTATCAACTCAGTAACTCATTCCTTAAAGTCAAGAGTTATATATTCATGACAGTTTACCTTACCGTCAAATATATATATATATATATATATATATATATATATATATATGTATATATGTATATATATATATATTTTCGGATTCAACTACTGAGTACAAAAATGGTTCTGCCGAAATTAATAACTACATATATTTTTGGTTTTTAGCAAATATAAAAGTCAAATACTCACTAGTAAATAACATCCGTTCGTACTATTTTATTTTGTCTTCTCAGTATAATCTTTCCATAGACTTCGGTGTTTATCAATCGCACAAATAGACACAATATCGATTAGCTAATCGTAGCTATGGTTTTGCTTTTTTATGAACTTGTAGATTCTGTATCCGTAGGAAGATTCAAAGAATGATAACTTCTAGGATACATTTATGGACTTTTATTATATGTTCTCATTGTATAATTTTCAAACAGACAGAAACAGACAGATACAACGCGGAACTTCGTACGTACGTACATCAGTTCAGGTTGCCATACCACATCAGCACAGAGTCGCAACTGTCAGTTCAAATCCAAGAGTGATAGCAATAATAGAAGGATTAGCAGTAATGGAGAAGATTAGGGAGCGAAAATATGATTCGAGAAGTATAATTCAGTAAGATAGATTTAGAAGGAGAAAGATAGAGATTATGAGGAATGCAGAAGCTTAGAATTTCATAGAACACAAAGAGTGGATGCACATGCGCCATTGCAAACAATTCTGAGCCATGTCGTTCAAAGTCTCTAACCATTGGTGATTATCGTCTCGCGGACCGTAACCAGGTAGTCGACACCTACCAACATGACTCAGTCCCCTTGTGAGTGACTTCATGGATTTGTCTCATGTTTTGGTTTGGCTACCCCTAGCTTTCTTCCAACCTAATCCTACACCACAAGACATAGCTCGTCGAGGCAGTTGGTGGTTAGCCATACGTAACACATGTCCCAACCATCTCAACTGATGAAGTTTCACTACTTCATCTGTTGATTAATTTTCAAACAACTAAATTATTACATATTTACATTCCTCTCATAAGCTCTTGATTAACGCATTAATTACTGGTTTATTATGTGTTGTTAGTTTCTCATTATATCTGCTCTATTCACAACCATTTTTGTCTTGTCCATGTAGAAGTGTATTTCTCCATTTTATGGTGACATGGTCTGGTGTATTTTGAATATAAGCTATGTCTGCTTGAAACATAAAAAATTGTGTGGAGGCTGGCTTGCAGACTTGTGGACTGAAACGCTTGGTGGAAGGAAATCAACTGTCAACTCCACTTTCTGGTTTTAACGTGATTCGGATTAGTGTTTTGTATTTGTCACGCAATATTGATTAACGGTTAGGTATATAACAATAACTTATCTGTTAATTACAAAATATACAACCGATACTTATCATTTTCGATGGGTTACATCCTTCTAAAGCAACGCTATTACGAATTTGGTACCTGTACATCGTCTATGTTTTACAGAATTTCAGTAAATTAAATATTTTGCTGCCTAATTGTACAACCAACTTCATACATCTCTACGAAAAATGTCATTGTTTCCACCTTTACTTTTGTTGACCATGTTTATGACGTTATGATAAAGAAAAGTATATTTCTGTATGAATGTATTTTTGAGTTTTTAACCTACTGATTTACTGAAGTCAACTATTTGTATCTTTCAAAGATGTGATATGGAAGCTTGAACTGATGTACGTACGTACGAAGTTCAACGTTGTAGTTGACTGACTAACTGATTTGTATCTCCTGCATCCGAATTTTCCAAACCTTACTGGGAAATAAATTCTCACAGTTTTCTTGTGATCAGTTATCATTTTTTAACAACACTGTAGCTTGTATTGTTGCAAGATATCGGTTGTATGTGCGTTTTTATTTGACAATTTAAGTGTCGGTTAATTTACTAAATAGTCAAAGTTCAAAAATTTATTTAGAAAATATAACACTTTATTCAACTGCTTTAATTTTCATTCTAGAGCGCAATAGGTCTAGAATTATGGTCGATGACTGATGGCATTGCTTTTGACAACTTCCTGATTGTTGACTCGAAGCGTGTGGCTGATCAATTTGCTCAAGAAACATGGGCAGTTAAAAGGGAAGCTGAAAGATTAGCCGATCCAAAAGCAGTAAGTTGTGTTGGTTTTGAATTTCAGAGTTTTTTCTTTGGAGATTTACTTTTAGCGGAACTCATGGTAATGTATCTGGCCAATTCATAGTATTGTTTAAATAAGTTGATACAACTCATTTATTAGATATTACGTCCTTTGTTCTGGGTTTGAAGCACACTTATTATATAAAGGTTCATTTAAACTGTCTTACAATGTGAAGCTGCGTTTATGCCTATTTATATTTTACCCCTTCCACAGACATACTTTTTTGGTTCGTTTATCAACTCAATATTTGATCATGTTCATCATTTAACTTGTTTCCGGATTTCTTTGCTGCGTTGCTTTATTGTTGTTGATCAACTACTATCTTGTTTTTTTTTTACAGCAAAGTGTTGTGGACGCTATACGCGAAACATATAATGAAAAACCTTGGCTCATAATTGTGGTCGGCCTTGTTTGTACATTACCTATTCTTCTCTGTTGTATCTACATGTGTCGGTCACCATCCAAACATCACGACATTGGAATGCGCAAGAAGACTGATACATTCACACCGGACGACTCTCATCTATCTGCTAGTGAAAGAAATGCAGAAACTGAAGAATTAGAAGAATCTGGTGAAGAAGACATTGTTCAAGTTCCTAAAGGCTCCGGTGACGAATCAATCGCTAATAAGACAGGAAGTAGCAGAGATAATTCTGGAGAAGAAACTCCTGATGAATCTGGAGAAACCGAGGTATGATATCACTTATTGAAATGACCGTAATGTGATAGTTACTTTAAAATTAGCTGTTGACGTTAATTGGTTAATGTTCATTTAAGTCACATCGAAGTATTATTTCTACTTAATATAGTTTTTATTATACATTTCAGAAAGCTCCGGCTGCAAAACAATCAATTAGAAAACGACGTTCACGAAAGGAATAAACTTACTCTCTTGGATTTCATTCCTGAAACATGTGTTCGTATAGCTTATGTAATCTTGAACCTTACACATACGTTTTCTTTTCATTGGTGAGATGTGATCGTAATTATCATCTCTCCCGTTTGTTATTTGTTTCTGTAGTTTTATGTGTCTCTTCTGTGAAGATGGCATATTTTTGTTTATCTGTACTGTATCATTTATGCTTCAATAAATGTAGATGTTGAACTGACAATAAACTCTGTTTCCATTTTATAGTTTTGAACATACTGTTTCTTATTGTCATCTCATTCCAACCCAGTGTTTCTTGTACGCGAATGAGTTTTATTTCATTTTCATTTGAAATCAATGTATGTGTTTTACTCTCAGTAATTTCCATTTTGTGAATAAAGTCATTTCCTATGTATTCTGTATTTCGGTATGTCTAAATAAAGAAAAAAACTTATCAATCCTTCAACTCTACCAGTAGTCATTAGTTTGTCTTTGATTTATGACAAACTCAGATCCTAATTTTCTGAAAAGTAAACCATTCAATCCTTTGAGATTTAGGTCCATTTTAGGAAGTCCCAGTTCCTATGTGGTCGCTAAAATAATAAACTGCAAAGAAATAGTACAGATCTTGTTGGATATTTGTGTTCGCATTCTTAAATCCGACATTTGGAATACAATTTCATTTTTGTAAATAATCTGGAGTGATTTTATACTGGTAGATTTAGTGATGAATATTTTATTTTATCCCATCGTTTCTCTGGTGAATAACAGAACCAACATTTAGTAGTGTTATCATTTTTGATGTTCAAATTGGCTAGTCCTCTGGTAGTAGTGAAAGGAAAGTGTAATTGACCGTTGATCGTGGACAAAGAGGAGCTTGGTTCACTGACTATCTTACATGTGATTTCTCCGGAGTCACTAAGATTGATTACTTGTAATTGTGGTATGAAGTACTGTCTATTGCTCATTCTGGATTTTTATTTTGATTGTGGATCGGTTATCTGATATGATGTGGCTTGTGAAGTGTACCCTTCGTCTTTTCAATCTAGTGGTAGTATAAACTCGGTCACCAGCGTTATTATCGTAGAATAATACCAATATCTCGTGCAAGAAAGAAATACTTTCTAATACCTCCGGAATATATCCCCTAAACAGATTCCCTGGATCATGCTTCTCAAAATGTCTACGGTTTGATGGTGTGTATTGCGATTGGGAATATACTTCATGTTTATTGATAATATCAAGGTTAACTAGCTTAACTGTTTGACAGAATCTGCACGTTGTTTGTCGTGAATTCGCGCAACTTTGGATTGTGTAAAATACATATCCATATAATATCAATCGAAAATTTGTGTGTTTATCATACATGTTTGGTTGACAGAAGTAAAACACGATAAGGATTAACTTGTTTGGTCGTTGAATGATGAGTTAAGTTCTCAATCAATTCACTATAGCCTCAGGAGCTGGTTATTATTTATCTCAAGCACTGTTGACGCTATCACATTCCGTATCAACCATACGTTACCTAATGAGCGATTCTTTGTGTTTTCTCTTTGATGTCAGTCTTATAAAGAGTCCTTAAATATATTGGTTTCACTTGTCCAAAGCATTTACTATTATATTTGATTCTGAGTGCGACATCAAATCTCTCAACCATTGGTTTTACTTAATATAAGTGGATGGTCACAGTAACTTCCTAACGAAGTTAAGTTAGTGAATTATCACTACAGCTCCAGTGTCACCAGATGGACCAAATCCTTACGAAGTGCATAGAAAGATTATCTAATTTTATCACTCGTGTGATTTTGCAACGTGAATAAGTGTATTCCATGTCATAATGTATGTGATTGCATGTACTAACGTTACTTCTCCCTCAAGTCTAAAATAATTAAATTGTCGCTGCACCATTTGCGATTTTCTTACCTATTTGATTTGTGTATATTGCTTGTTTACGAAAATAAATTCTTAGGTTTATTGAATTTGAGTACTCAATGTGAGTAAATGGTGTTTCAAGTTGAAAAGTCAATAAATGTTTTCTTTTCCTCAAAGTTATTAAGCTTATCTCGTTACGTCTAAATCTGAAGTAGTTCGTTGTGAGATGAATGTATTCTGAAATCAAATAACTCGAAAACTCACTAAGTTGCTCACCATAGAAAACTGTGTAGGAGAATTAGTTTTTGATTGGATAAATACGAAGAAGCACAAACTGGCTTTCGAAAACTCTGTTATAATTTTAGCGTAAATTGAGTATTTTCCATCCTTTATTAGTTGCGGTCGATCTGGGAAATACACTTCATCTGACTCAAGTTAGTGAAACAATAAGAAATCAGATACAAGCGGTGATCTTTCTTCTTACTCAATGACATCTCATCAGTCAGTCAATCAGTTACAACGTTGGACGTCGTACGTACGTACATCAGTTCAAGTTGCCAAACCACATTAGCACAGACGCAATTGTCAATTCGAATCCCATAGTAGTAGAGGTAGCGGAAGCATCCACAGTAATCAACGGGATTAATGATCGAATATATATCATTCGAGATGTATATTCCAGAGGAATCAGTTGAAAATATAAAAACGGTCATGAGGAACTCAGAAAATTCGGATTTGAGAGAACACGGAATGGATGCACCTGCACCCTTCAAAACGGTTTTGAGTCATATCATTCAAGGTCTCTAACCATCGATTACTATCATCTCGCGGACCGAAACCAGGTAGTCGACACCTACCAACATGACTCAGTCCACTTGTGAGTGACTTCATGGATTTGTGCCATGTTTTGGTTTGGCCACCCCTAGCTTTCTTCCAACCTAACCCTACACCACAAAACATAGCTGGACGAGGTGGTCGGTGATTGGGCATACGCAGCACATGTCCTAACCACCTCAACTGATGAAGTTTCACTACTTCGTCTATTGACCTGCTATCTTTGCCTAATACCCGTTTCCTGACAACTACATTACCTACTCGACAGTCCCAAGGTAAACGAGTAATGCTTCGGAGACACCTATGATCGAAAACCGGTAAACTGAGTATATACTCTACTCCTACTGGCCATGTTTTGCAGCCATAAAGTAGGAAGGATCGAGCTTTTGCTCATTAGACTTGTCGTTTGGTTAGCAGACGGATATCTCGCCTAAGCCATGAGTGACGCAAGTTGGTAAAAGCTAATCGAGCTTTCTGTACCTCATCAGTACTCTAGTAGCTTTAACTACAAGCGAATATGTTATCTTTCATACTAGTGTTGTGACGTGGATGCTGTTTCTGCATCTAATCAACTTAGTGTTACAACTATATCATATCAGAAGTAATAGATTTTCAGTAGAAAATTCGATTGATACTATATTTTAGTCTGATTACAATGTTGATACAAAGTTTCAAGGTATATAAGTTACAGTGGCAATTATCAAAACGAATTTTAAGGCTTGTAGGATGTATAAAAAGATATATAATCAATTATTAGTACTAATCCTGAGAGAAGTTACAACTTGAACCTCCTAAATAGATGTCAGTTCCTTTCATTGATGTTGGATTAATTCTAAGTTATTAAGAAGTGTTTTTCAGCTTCTGAATAAGGTTTAGGACGTCAAGTGGACTAGGTTGCTTCGTGTCTGTCACATTCAAATGAGCTTTCTGTCGAAATAAGTCAGCAGATAAAATTGGTGTGTTTATTCGTGTTGTTTGAGCGATACTTCCAGTTCTTGATTCTCTTGGTACTTGAAAATCAGTGTCTTGACGATCCCACGAGAAAGGTGAATATTCTTTTTCGTGTCGAAATGTAGTTCCTTTTCTCTCTGGTGCTGAGTGATGAATGATATCTTGAGTTTTCCTTAAGTCTGACTGTATCCTACATGGATACATAGGTTTCATGTTCTGAGGATCGGATAATCTAGCAGGTACATCGTTCATTGTTCTTCGTAAATTCATTTGATCTGAAGTGTGATTTTGAAAGACATTATTAATATTGATTCCTGAATTTTCTATGGTATCATCTGAAGAGTGGTTAGATGATTTATTAGACTGGTTTGTTAACTCATCACTCAATTCGTTCCTTGATGAAAACACATTCTTCATTGCGATGTTTAATGCCAATATATGCTTGTGTAACTCAATACTACCATTCAGATGCATAAAGCAAAAGAAAATCATTAAAATACTCATTTTTTGATCATTGAAAATAAATTGAATCGAATGAAGAACAACTTTAAGCGATCACTTAAGATGATTATCTTTTCTTTAGAATCCAACTCGGGAAATAAACTATTGACTTACTGAATAAAATTTAACACATCACTTCTGTCCTCTCACAGAAATGAATATTCTCTAAACGTTTCTCATGTCAGAGCAGCAAATTATGGTGAGCCTAATTCAGTGTAGTAGTACTACAGTGCCTGATTACTTTGAATGAAATTGAATATACTCAGAATTAGTAATATAGTACTCAATCTTATTCATGATTAGGAACTAATTTAATAACCTCTTTTTATAACACTAATTATTTCTTTCTACTGACATGCCAAAGAACGTGGCAAAAAAACTGATTGATTTTACAGTTCGCTGTACATTTGTACACATAAAACATGGAGACCCAAATTCAAGGCTTGAAAAGCTTGATTTATATCCTAGATCATCCCAGTGAAGTGAAGATTATCAAAAAAAATTAAATCATGTTTACTGAAGCACTTGCACTGTTTAATCATAGCTAGCCGAGATAAGTTTAACTTCTGTGCATATACACCGCCATAACTCTATACTCTGGTGGGGTATGGTGTTTCGATACATAAGTCTCGGCTAATTGCATCTTCCAAACTTTATCCTCTAATCTGGACACCGTCAGAATATTTTCACTGTCTTTATTTATTTATCTTCTCTGAATTGTCTCATTTTACCACAGTATAATTAGGCAGATAAACTTAGCACAATTTCATCAACAGCTTGTAACATTGTGTTTCATAAAACTTTAATGATCATTATGCATTTAGAACATCAAGAAATTTAAATGATATCATAAATGCCTTACCTGTTACTAATCTGCGAATGAGCAGACTGTACTGCACTCAGGGTTCCTGTGATTACTACTCGGCGGACATTCATACCCTCCTCACCACTAGAAATTTTAATTCTGGCCTGAGAAGCCTGTACAATACAAATGAAAAAAAAGAAGTGAGTTTTATGTTTAGAACTGTTTCAGATAAATTCTTAGTGGAATTATAAATACAGTAATACTAGAGCTAGGAAAGTTAACCTTAATGCATACGAATAGTTCATTAATTTCCACATTAATCTGTTTTATATTTTAAAAATGTGTTCTGTCTGTTGTAATTTAGCTCAACAGTTACGTCACATTTACAAGAAGTTCCACTAATGCTGATCAACATGGCTTATCATCAATCCATCGTGGACCATGAAATCTTTTGTATTTTTCTCTTAATTAGTATCATCTTTCTTACCATGAGGGTATAAACACAGTCTATGACATTTTGAGGAGCTTGGAATTAGTATGGTCAGATTCCATTGTATCAGGTATCTTGGGTTATCATGAATTTTGTTATTCGGGTTCTTCTGTTTGCATCTCTACAAAATGATTATTCTCTTTTATCATTGTGTTCAAGATAACAGAAAACCTATAATCAAACAATATTGTTAAGCAAACCGTACAGCTGCTCTAGTGTACATACTCACTTTCTGAATACAGTCAATAAAATATTTTTTAAGCCGAGTTGGGTAGTGACTATTTATCGGATCCAGGACATATGTTTCCTCCTATCTGGCTTAATTGCAATATCGAGACAATTCGTTCGAGATACGCATATGCCAGTAGAGACTGATCACATTCAATCCTTAATATCGACAACGCCAACCAATAGAATACCTTAGTTTTTATGGTTGATGAGACTGTTTTGTAATGTGTACTCACTAAATTTAGGTTTCTTATCGTTTTATAATATAGATATTATATCTGTTCAATAATTCTGTTCGTCTATATGCGTTTAACCTGAGATTAACACACAAAGCTTATTTCTTTAATGCGTTCCTAAGACGAGAACTTGATAGAAAAGAAGCCAGTTTTATGAAAATTACAGTATCGAATATGAAGTTCTAAAAGTCATACAGCTACAGGTGACAATACTATTGTATTTCTTTTATTCATAAAATTGCATTAATAATGTTAACATACTTCTCAACAAACATCTTTTGTGCTGATAAATGGATCAGTAACTCGACTTTCAAATAATAGGTGTGTATGAGCCCTCATGAAAACTGCTTCCATTTTAAACAACCATGTATTATTTGCAGCAATGACTTTTCAAACGTTAAACAGACACTGTAAGTTTCGGAGTTTCATCAAGGAAGTTTTTAAGTTGAATGTGTTTTGAATTTTATAATGAATAATTGCAGAAAACAATCCCGACCGTAGCTGCTACCTTGACGAGATGGTCGGGCTTGACTATCGTGATGACCCAGCCGAGCTATACTGGCTGGAGCATATGTTCCTGAAGGTTCTACCATGCCAGGCAGGTCGATTGGAAAACGATGAGACTAAAAGCAGCTACCCAAGGTCTGAGGGCGAAGTCGTACTGCTGACTGCAGAGGGGTGTGACGAAATCTCAGCTCGGATACAGAAGGCTCGATTGGCTTTTGCCAAACTGCGTCACTTATGGCGCAGGCGAGATATCCGTTTGCTAACCAAAGGATCAGTGTACTGTGCAGCAGTTCGCTCCGTCCTACTGTACGGATGCGAGACTTGGCCTTTAAGAGTAGAGGACTTTCGTAGGTTACTAGTCTTCGATCATCGATGTCTCTGAAGCATTGCTCGTGTATCATGGGACAACCGTATAAGCAATGCTGTCGTTAGGAAACGAGCTCTAGGTAGGGACGGGAAATCAATAGATGAAGTATTGAAACTTCATCAGTTGAGGTAGTTGGAACATGTGTTATGTATGCCTAACCACCGACTGCCGCGACGAGCTATGTTTCGCAGTGTAGGTGTAGATTGGAAGAAAGCTAGGGGTATGCAAACCAAAACAAGTCACTGAAAAGTGGACTGAGTCATGTTGGTAGATGTAGGCTACCTGGCTGGGGTCCACGAGACGATAGTCACCGATGGTTAGAGACCTTGAACGACATGGCTCAGAATTGTTTGCAATAGCGCAAGTGCATCTATTCACTGTGCTCTCTCAAATCCTAATCTTCTGGATTCGTCAGCACCTCTACCTTTCTCCTTCTAAATTTATCTTACTGAATTATACTTCTCGAATCATATCTTCGCTCCCTAATCTTCTCTGTTACTGCTAATCCTTCTATTATTGCTATCACTCTTGGATTTGAACTGACAGTTGCGTCTCTGTGCTGATGGGGTATGGCAACCTGAACTGATGTACGTACGTACGAAGTTCTGCGTTGTATCTGTCTGTCTCGTTTGCAGAAAACAATGAACTATGATATTATTTCTTGTTATTTAACTAGACATAATATTGGATGCTGATTACAGATTTAAAATTTATTTCATCTTACTTACTAATTTTTTTATGTATTATTACTCTTCTGTAGCAGCAAAATAGTTCAGCAAGCACAAATAACAACTAAAATTCAAACTGAATGCTCACAAAAAATAATAATTAATTAGATTTGAACAAATTTATGTTATTTTCTTTGTCTGTCATATAGTGTGTGATTATGGCACAGAACCTTTGGCGCACAGTAAGTAATCGAGTGACACAACCCACTCAGTCTATATATAGTTACTGACATCGATTTAATACAGAATTATAATTAGACCATTTATGAAAGAATTGTTTTTATACTGTTCTAAGTTAACTAAAATTAGAATATTTTCTAATCAAATAATCTCAAATATAAAAATGAAGGTAGTTGAAAGTGGAAACCCTCCCCAGATGATACATTTTTACTTTCTAGCACTTTTGATGACAAGTGCTTGAAATCTTAAATTATTTCATTCTATCACAGATATTCAGATAAGTAGTTGAAATCAAAGAAAAAAGAAAGTAAGTTCTCAAACCAATGGAATGCATCTCATATTATAAGACTAGACATTTTTGTGTTTGCTCAATAATCAATATTCACTTATACGTTTTATTCATTTAAATGGCCTTTTACAGTCTACATCTCCATCTCTTTTAGTTTAATCACAATATTGTGCAACATGTCAGTCAGTCAGATGCAACGTAGAACTTCGTACATAAGTACATCACTTCATGTCGCCATACCACATCAGCACAGAGATATAATTGTCAATTCAAATCCAATAGTAGAAGAGGTAGTAAAGGTATTAGAAGTAATCGGAGAGTTAAGGATTAGAAGATATTATTCAAGAAGTATGATTTAATGAGAAAAGTTTAGAAAGTCAAAACTAGAGGTGTTGAAGAACACAGAAGGTTAGGATTTGAGAGAACACAGAGAATAAATGCACTGGCGCCATTGCGAACGATTTTGAGCCATGTCATTCAAGGTCTCTAACCATCGATTATTATCCTCTCGCGGACCCCAACCAGGTAGTCGACAATTACCGACATGACTAAGTCCACTCGTCAATGACTTCATGGATTTTTGCCATGTTTTGGTTTGGCCGCCCCTAACTTTCCTCCAACCTATTCCTACACTACAAAACAAAGCCCGACGAGGCAGTCGGTGGTTAGGCATACGCAAGACATGTCCCAACCACCTCAACTGATGAAGTTTCATTACTTCATCTATAGTGAAAAAGCACTAAGCAGATGAACAATATCAAATGTTCCTTTTTCATGTTGCACAATATGAAAAAAGAACATTTGATATTGTTCATCTGCTTAGTGTTTTTCAAAAAGATAAACTAAGAAATTGATTGATCAATAAAAATCTGGTATTTTATTTAAAAAATAAGGATGAAATGACTAGATATGCAGTCTTTTAAATGTAATTTTAATAAACAAGGTGGGCGAAAGCCAAACTTATTGATTTCTACAACGTGGGCATTTTCTCTAAGGGATAGGTAGATAATTTAGATTAGTTAGTTAGCTTCTAATTTTTGTTATCTGGTTTTGTTTTTTTTTTTGACCTAAACAGATCAACCAAGTTTCGAGCATTTACATCAAACACCTATCAAACGGATTCGGTATATTATACACTGTGTGGACAACAATGAATGCTACTCTCGCACCACTAACCAGCCAGAATTCTTAATTGCTCAGTTCATGTGAATTTCCCAGCCTTATCTACTACTAACTATGAATATACCAGTGATATTCTGTTTACTTTTAGCTCAATTCACTGGTTATGTCACATTCTTCCAATCTCTAATATTTTATTTTTTGAAAGATAACCTGATAATAGTGTTGATTATTAGTGATCAACAATTAGATTTATCAACAAGTACTCATAAATATTTCTCGTATTATTCATGACAATTATTCAACATAATGATTAGAATGTCTCAGTATAATGAATGTATCGAATAAAGAAATTGATCTGTGCGAAAATCGATACCCACTCTCTTAAAGAAATAATTTGTTTCATGAAATCACTGAGGTTTATGGCTAGGTAATAATAATAATAGTAAGATAGCTTGGTTTACCATATATACGATACTGCTTACCTGCCGAATCTCGTTGATTTTATTGCCTCCCCTTCCAATCACGCATCCTATAAGGTCATTTGAAATTAAAATTTCGCAGTGGTATTGGATTCCACTAGGTCCGTTGGCGACTGGTGCTTTTAAAATCGCTGAGTTTTGTAATAACTTTGGTGTATGAGATGATGGAGTGTTCATACCACTTTGAAGTGTGATAGAAGGTAGTTGTAATTTGCATGGGGATTGGATAGCAGACATTATTAATTGTATGACTGTAAATATAATAAGTAAGAAGATTTCATCAAATCAAAAAAAATATAAGTAAACCGGTAAAGTTATTGTCTAATGAAACTAAACATGGTTTCGGTATTACAGATGAATCTTGTTTCTGAGTTCAGCGCATTAGTCATTCTCTAAAAATGCTTTCCAGTAAAAATTTGAAGTATCAGATGCAAAACTAACTGGCTCATATATTTCAAAGACAATGGTACTTGTTTTAGTAGTCCCGGGATTCTTCTTCCAGATTACACAAGTAAGTTTAGTGAGAAGTCAGTCTATACTAAGTAAAAGCTTAGTAGTAACCTACTTTGTACTCTCTCATTCCTAGTGCATATTCGTTTCTATGTATCAATCTTTACTGTGAAAATTACAGCAAAGGATTGTTTGATGTTAGGTGGTCGGATGGGATCAAAACAGAAACCTTTGACTTAATAGCAATTAGAATTCATCACTAAGGCGGTTTTGGATAACTTCTGATTGTCCCTCAGTATCATAAGCAAATATATTATTGCTGAGGTATTTGGTTAGTGGTCGAGCTCCAGTAAGACTAAATCAAAGGGTTAATGGACAGGTTAAAACTTGATAATCTCCTGAACACCTGAGTAGTGATCCTTTTGGCTGTGATGCTGGTCCACAACTTACTACAAAACTATTGTAAGGGAATGTCCACGAATGTCAAGCTAAAAGTAACTTAGATCGAGGGCTTGATATCGATTGTCTCGAACCAAACAAGATCAGAGTATTTAGTGTTCTATTAGTAAAAACTCAATTAGTATTAATTATAATTATGGATCCAGCATGAACAGTTTCATCTGTCTAAAATACTTCTTGGATTGATAGAGCAAAACAAGATGATTATTTGTTTCTTGCTAGGAAATGAACTCCTATCTACTTGCTATTTCATGTTATTTTCATTTTGCAACAAAAATTAATCATTAACTAATCGGTTCAAATACACACGTTTGATTGTTTGTTAGTGGAATCCCCAAGAAAGTGATCCTTTTTATTCGAAGTTCATCAATATAGGCACTGTCGTGACTGTCGAACATTCCATACGGTATGAGTGACGCTAAGAACATTAAAAAATCTTATTTTATTTGATGGAGTACCATGGATTCAGTTCGAGTTCATTGCTCCATGGTTTAAAATCAACAACTTTAAGCACCAAGACAGGATTACATACATTCAGAAGTATCGAAATTAAGCAGATCGAAAACATTTTTTAGTCTGGTCCAAATCCAGTGCAACAGAATATTCTTTATTCAGTCACGTTTCACTGAAATTAAGTATGTATTTATTGTTACATATATTCTTAAATAGAATTGGAATTCAAAGCCAGTAACTGAAAAAAACTACCTACATATAAATGCAGTAAACGATTCTTAAAAACATGCATTTACATTTCATCAGACCAAATTCTGCCAATCAATTTAAACAGTCATATGAATTTACATGATCAATAAATAAACATTTACTTCCAAATAACTTCACTTACAATGTCAGACAAATAACTAATTCGAAATGTTTTAAAAATTGAGCAGGCTAGACCAATTAAATACTCATAGTTTCGAATTTAAAAAACTTCAAGTGAACAGTAATCACAATTTAATAAATCTTTATTAGAAAAATGACCTATTGGCCTCGTCTGGTTGATTATCCTAAGGGTTTTTATTAGTATCGATCGATTAGCTTCCCGATTTGTCACTTTTGTTCATTATAATTGTTAGTTTATGAAGAAGGTCTTCTTAATTCAAAAAGTTATTCTCATAAGGAACAAACAGAATTTTTCATTAGATCTGTAACTCTGAGTAATAAGAAAAACAGACAAATAGGTAATTTTGATTAATGAAGTCAAAAATTGTTCGTCAAAGACACTATGTACATTAGTAGGGGAATGTGCCCACATATGCTAGCTCACTTTAAGTTCTTGGTGAACTTCAGTACACTGTCCCATATTCCACTTGATTAACGAACCGGATGAAAGTAGCTTAAGCAAAAATATCATTCTTTAGGAAATCTAGCATTATATATGATATTAAAATAAGGTTATGAGTATGTTTTGTTTTGATCGTGAATACATTGGATTTATTCACAGAAATAAACTTTTAAATCTCAAATAACTGTTCAGGTAACAGGAGTACAATTGAAGTAATCTGTAATCGAACTAAACAACTAAGTATAATTAAATTCTTAGCTTTACGTCGATTTCATTTCAAGTTCCATAGACTTGTGTAGATCCAATGTTCATTGATTTTGAGAGTCTAGAAAAAGTGTCCTCAAAGATTTATGGAATAAACATAGCAGAATAAAATTACTTTCAAAACAGTGTTTAGAACTGGACTGTAGATTAGACTTACTATTCTAAAGTTGAGTGAACTATAAAATATACCGGCAGTAAATCATTCAGTGTTACAAACTGATATTATCTTTAACATAATATCTTAACAAATTGTAACATGTGGAAAACTAAATGCCCTTCATAAACTGTCTGATTTTTAAAATTCAAGATTATTTTGTAAAGCAGAATGCTAGAAAGGTATAACGTTGTTTTGATTTAATTCTCTCAAGAATGGTTTGAATTGATTTTTCTGGTTAGCTTTTTTTAGCAAGTTAGTTTTCTACGGGATAGGTTCGCTAACCCTGCACCCGACCCTCCTTTATCCACGCTCAGGACAGGCAGTAGCTCCAGGGGGTGTTTCAGCAGTCTTAAACTTAAGTATTAATTCATTTGTTTGATGTAAAAATCAATGTTTATCTTGGAAATCGGGAGTTAGTATATGTAAAAATGCTTTCAATATTACTGGGTAAAACGAAAAGTGATATCGATCAATTTGTTTCAAGTTTTATTGAGAGCGGTTGTTCATAGTGAACATTACGAACATGATTTAAAATCTGGAATTTAGAATCGACATTGTCAGTTCAATCAACTATTTTGAGACAGTGATAAATCGTCAGGTGATCTCATGCCCATACATATCTCTCTGCGCATGCACAAATAAAAATGGTGTCAAATATATGTTATTGTGACCCCATTATTTATCTAATGGTAACTTAGACAATTGGTTGGCTACTTACATTCGTATCAGCTTATGAATATGTGCATTCTTATTCAGCCTCTATTCTCTGTTTTTGACTGACTTGTCTAATATACGTTTCGTTTGCTAAGGTAGTTTGTTTGAAGTAAATCATTCCCAATCAGATAACCTGTTTGACTGCTGAAAGTCATGTGCTGAGAACAAACCGAATTTTACATCATGGTTTAGCTAAAAATTACACAAAATGAACGTCGATCATTCATGGTAGGAATTGACTGATAACCTTTTACAGATCCATTACTAGTTTAGACCAATAAATAATGTTTCTAAAATCAGTACCAACAATAACTAAAGTTTTCAATTTTGTTAGGTTTTTTGACAATGTTTTTATTCTATTTAGGAATATGACAGTGATATATAGTGATAAATATCATCAGTAAAAATATTACTTAGTTCAAGGTTTCGACAAAAACTACTTAGTAGCTCATCATTTCTCACAACTGTTTGACTGCAAACTATTTTGTCAACCTAGTAGTGCATAGTAGATAAGAATGGAAGAATCTGAAATGATGGGATTTTAGTTTACTCTAAAGGATAAGAATAAAAAATTCATATCTCTGTTAACTACTAGTACAGTAATTGTAATGCCTTAGATTAATTAAATTATGACAATTGTCATGAAATGAATGTTCGTTAAGAGCTTTTGGTGAAAGATTATTGACCAATAATGATTTTTGTTTACTGCAATAAGAATCAATCTTAAGACTAAGTATTTTATTATCCATTGCTGATTTATCCAGCCTATTAAACTTACCATTCGAAATGAGAATTATGATCAGTGAATTGAACATTTCATCCTGAGTTCATTAAGTGGTAAGTTTTTAAGCTGAATAGATATTATCTTTAAACTAATCTCAAATTAACTGAAACCAACCTCCATTCTATAACAAACAATTCTATGACTCCTGCCCATGAAGCTAAAAAAGTAATTACCGGTAATATTTAAAAATGAATTGTCTTTTTTAATCGATGATAAAGTTGTCTATTTATTTAATTTTTAAAACCATAAATCGATCAATGTTAGACCACCATTAAAAACCTGGAAGCACTGGACGGCCGTTTCGTCCTGGTATGGGACTCCTCAGCAGTGCGCATCCACGACTCCTGCACCCCGCAGGATTCGAACCCGGGACCTTCGGTATGGTGCGCGAACGCCCAAACGTCGGACCACTGAGCCGGTATCTAACGGTGTTAATGCCTAACTTGAACAATTCACGGAGTTGCGCAACCTCATACACAGTCTTCGGTAGTTACTGTCTACACCCGAACAGGTTGAACTTCACTGGTCACGTCTTCCTACTAGAACTCGCAGAAGATTCCTCACGAAGCTAGTCACTACTGAGCACAGGTAATTCGCATTACGGGGTTGTGAATATTGTTAAGTTAAACATTTTTGAAACCATGAATCATTCAATCTTAGACCACCATTAGAAACCTGGAATCACTGGACGGCCGTTTCGTCCTGGTATGGGACTCATCAGCAGTGCGCATCCACGATGCGCATCACACCAGGACGAAACGGCCGTCCAATGCTTCCAGGTTTCTAATGGTGGTCTAATAATGATCGATTCATGGTTTCAAAAATGTGTAACTTAACAATCTTCACAACAACGTAATGCATATTTATTTAATGTTATGAGGATATAATCTAGTTCGTGAAATGAGTTAGATTGAATGAAAATCTGTTGAAAACCGAAAATCTTTGTGAATGTTTATCTCGTGTCAACATCCTTCTGTATCATACTCATGAATTTTCGATAATGAATAATTTAAATGGTCCGCAACTCTCCAAATAGGTGAAAGGATCAATAATTATGGCTGATCCACTCCACAGTTTTCATTTCAAACTGTGTACAGACCGTATACTTGCCTCCTAATTGCAAACGATGTGATAGATATTCGTTAATTTTTTGGCCATAGAAAAAATAACATGCAACTTGTCTGACAAAATCTTTTTATTCACACAACAGACGTTTTTCAAATGAACATTAGATAAGAGATAAACGTACACAAACAGTGGATAAGCAAATCTATTTTTTTCAGAATGTGGAAAACTGATTTGATTTTTGCGATTTCTCAAAAAATATAAATCGAAAGTTTAAGTATTCTCAACAAACAACACTACTTGACAGAATGCTGAGATTATTAATGGTATAGGCATTTGTCATCGACTCGAAATAAACTGCTAATTGTTTAACAGAATAAGAATGACATAGCTTAGAGCTAGTAAGTAAGAAAGTGTTATCATAAAAAAAAAACTTATTTATGGACCAGCCACTAATTTAAAAGTGAACGAAACTACATTAGAATTTACAGTGAAATACCATTTTTGAATATCTGATCAGTAATTAAATTTGATTTAATCAAACTGTCAATAATTAATAATAATTGACTAATAAGTTGAAATCAATAGGTCAAACTGCTTCAAGTGATAATTATAACTAACTGACTTTGTGCTCATTCTTAGCGAAGTCATATTTCACTGAATAAATTCGAAGGAGTTTTGAAGAAAAACTGTAACATTTGAACTTAAAAACTCCTAAATGAGAGTTAGTCGATATCGAAAATATCAGAAGACTCTCCGTTAATCTAACAGATTAAATGCTGTTATAAAATATGTATTACTAACCTAGTAATTTAATGACAGTTCAATGTGAAGTTATTCATCCTTCTCTGATTTCCGATTAAGGTACAATATCTGGTATTTTCGAGCATATTTTCCGTTCGTTTAGAGAGCGACTACAGAATTAATTAGTGTAATTTTCACTATTTATACGTAGCATTCACTCACTAGATGAATAAAAAAAGATGCCTGAGAATGTTAAATACCGCAAACCTACTGAATACTGAAGGATGGATGCATTATATATTTACGGACATGTATGGTTTGTTTGCCATGAGTTCCAAAAGTATGATCTACGGTACGATCATATCAAGTGGACGTTCATGGCTTTAATAAGTGCATTTAATTTGTTTAAGTGATTTTTGTACTTATACTTGTTCAAACAAGCGTGATGTTCTTAGCTTACAAGTTTACAGAGTAAGTTGAAAACTGGTCGATAAACATGGTGAGCCTAACAGAACATCAATAACAATCAGTATGTTCGAAATTTAAAAATATCAGAATGAGTCATCATTCTGACAATCAAGAAAATGATTTCTTAACTTAGAGATTACAACTTGTATGTTTGAGCAGGCTTCTCAATACACCAGAGGAAACAAAGATGAAACTATTGTCTAATCACTTATCTTGCGTTCCTAAACGGAGAATTTACGAGGACATTGAAAATGTCCGCAAGCCCAGAACAAGTTAGTTGTCAGTTGACTAGTGACTTTCTTATTGAATCGTCAGTGGATGAGATTGTTTATCTCAACATGTGATTAAAACTTTATTTATCAATGCATTCAAGATGAAGCTGGATCATCTAAGAGACCAACTTTGTTTTGGACTAATACAGGCCACCCAG